GGTTGTCATTAGCATTATGACAGGTGTGAATAAAACATTAAAGCTAAAAAAATAAAAAAAAAAAAATTATTTATTCCGGTATTATGGAACCGGAACATTATCCCTAAAACAAAAAAAAAAAAAAAAAAAAAAACATCTACAATAGTATAGTACTGAGCATTATGACATATGGTACAGAAACTTGAACCATAAAAAGCAACCTCAGGAAGAAACTTCTAGCCACCGAAATGGACTACTGGAGTCGAGCGACGGGAATATCCAGAATGGATAAAGTCAGAAATATGACCATCAGAGAAAAGATGGAGGCTTTTCATTCAAAAACCATTCTGGAAGAGATTGAGATAAAACGCCTGAACTGGAATGGCCATTTGAAATGAATGCCAGAAGGAAGACTACCCAAAGAAGTCCACTTATGGAAAACTAGAGAAAGAAGAAGACGAGGAAGACCTGGGATAACGAAGTGGAGTAATCCATGATAGGTCATGGTCTACGGGAAGAATGGACCTGAGATGGGATATTATGGAAAGAAGCCATCCAAGATTTAGGTTAATGAAATCCACTATTAGTGGAAACTCCTACTAAAAAAAAAAAAATCTTCGTTACCTTCTACAACTTTATTTATTACATATTATTTTTTCTAAAACTCCCCACTTTCTATCGACATACTATACCTGGATAAGCATTTTCTTTTTTCACCTTTATCCAATTATCAAATTCTTTCAAAAGTTATATTTAGCCTTTTTTCATAACTCCTAACAATGAGAGATAGTTATTTATTTAAAATGAACCACATTAAAGGAACTTTAATTAGGTAGAGGATGACATTTTGCATTTGAGCCCTTTCAAGTGACATCAATATGGACAAGACCTATATTTTTTTTTCTTAACTTAATTTTTCAACTGACACCTGTCAGAAGTTTCGAAAATCAGCGAGTGTGATGTCAAGATGTTGAAAGTTAATAGGTTTCGGAATAGGCGTAAGGGAAAGAAGTGCCCAGTGACGTCCTTCCTGCCTTAAATGTAATATTTAAAGTTAGTGGAGGAGATCCCTCATCCAGCTTCTTTTAAGCCTCCTTCGGGTGCTATTGGGCAAGTTAGTTGTGGCCATGCCTCGAATCAATGAGTTAGTATGTCCGTGTAAATTATTATGAAATATCTTGTAGTGTGTTCGTATGTGGTCGTTAACTGTTAACATCTGTAGGTCTTTATGTAAAGTAATGTTACTGAAGTACCAAGGAGCATTGGTGATAGTTCTGAAAGTTTTAGATTGAAAAGTCTTTAGTTTACGTATGTGAGTCTTTTTGGCTATCCCGTATAGATTGGGCCTAAGTACGTAAGTATACGCATTCGATTTCTGTCCAAGTTTTAATTTCGAATGTCTTGCAAAGAGTGAGCACAATAGTCGTAGTCTTATGTTTAGAGTTATCATTTTGTTCTTGATATATGGGCCCCATGTCATTCTTCAGTCAAAGATCAAAGATTTGAATTTAGTCTGTCTGAGGAATTTGGATATTGTCAAGGTAAATAGCAGGGTAAGTTTCACGTCGAAGGGTAAAAGTGATATGTAGTGATTTGTCTAGGTTGAGTCGAATTTTGCAGAGTTCGCACCAGTCGTAGAATATGCTTAGGTGATATTGTAAAGTCTGTGAGGCGTATGCTGAATTTTGATGTCTCGTCAAGATTGTTGTATCGTCTGCGTAAGTCGCGGTCAGAGTATCAACAGGATCTGGGATATCATAAGTGTAAATGATATGCAGGAGAGGAGACCTAATTGATATTTAAGTTTACTTAATTATACATTAATACACCCAGGCTAATCAAAATTGTTAGAGCTGTTTTCGAGAAAATCGTAAAAATGTGTAAAATCAATGATATAAATGGGACTTCCGGTTTTTGCGATTTTAACGAAAAACTTGCTGTCGCATCCGTGCCATGTACAAACTTAGAATACCTAATTTCAGTTTCGTACGACTTTCCGTTTTTGAGCTAGGCTGTTCAAACGCACTTAGACCATTTTGCGGGACTTGGTTATTTGACTCAGGGGACCTTAAAACATTTATTTCCATTGAAAACTCAGAATTGAAAATTTTCACGGCTATATTGAACTTGTGTGGGAGTCTTCGGACGAAAAGAAACCGCTTATAAATAAAAACAAATTAAACATAAAATTAGAATATCAAACTATGCGATATAAAATCAGTTTGCAATGAGAAAATTTGTTGCCAGCTTCAACAGCGTTCTATCACAGGATTTAAATCAGCTCAGCAGATCTCTTGACCACCGCCTTCGTAATCGTCGTGGTGGGCTGTATGGGTGTCTTGTACGTTTAATGATGTCAGTCAGACGATTCACGTTGTTAGTCAATGTTTGGTGAAAGTTATTGTAGTTTTCTTTTCCAGTGTCTAAAATCTTGGGATGTTTAAATCTTCAAGTAATATTTCATTTGCGCCATAATACCAATGATACCGACAATCCTTCGTAACACTTTCCACTGGAAAGACTGAATTTTTTAATTTTGAAAATTTAGCAGAACCCCATAGTTAATACCGCATTTCCAAATTGGTTTATGTAAACCTTTATACAGGATTAGTTTCTTAGTTAAGGATAATTTTAAATATCAGTCAAGTAATCAACTATACCGTCGATACAATGGCAAACTAGCAAAACTGAAAATGACCACTTTAATATCATTGTCAATTCAGCCCAAACAATAAGGATGTTTTAATTTCCAAACTAATATCTGCTTTCATGGATGTTTGAAGATTTTTTAACCGGTGTTTGAACATATTTAATTACAATTACAATTCCTAGAATGCAGGATTGAAAAAAAAACTAATTTTTCATGTTCGATAGTATACAACTGTATCAAAGATATCGTATGTTTAATTCCATTTGTTTTTGTCTCACGTCAGTCTTCCATGTCAGTCTTTTGTCTAGATGGAAACCGATGTATTTCATTTCATCTGATGCTGGGACTTTAATGTTATTGCATTATATTTTGGGGAATAATTATGAGTAAACATTATTTTTTTCATTTATTTTAATTTCCCAGCTTATGACCTAATCAGAAACATCGTTCAGATGATTCTGAAGAGTGGTAGATGCTTCAGCAGGATTTTTATCTGAGCTAAGGATTGTGGTATCGTCAATCCAAATCAGTAGAATGTTATTGTATAGCGGTGGGCCTTAAAAATATATATTAAATAATATTGGACCAAGGACACTATCCTGAGGCATTCCGGCTTTAATGGACTTAATGCCAGAACGTTTTATCCTTACTTTTACTACAAAATTTCTGTCAATTTAATTTGAGAGTAATGGGAGATAATGGGTCGGCAAAAGTAAAATTTTAAGTTTTGAAAGCAATCCCTCATGTAAAACTTTATCAAAACCATGACTGATTTACAAATAGAGGTAGAATGTTTATTAACTTCCAATGGGTAAGGTAATTGGCTATTCAATCTCAACATTTACTATTGTGTTTCAACTAATTATTCTTTTCCTAAACTCGCCTACTTATAAACACACGTTTTCAAAAAATACTCCGCAACTAACACATTCACTATTGAAAGTTTATCACAGTAAGGTAATAGTAAACGAAAATAAGTGCGTTTTTAAGACTATAAGTTACAACAATTTTTAAAAAAATACTTATGCGATACAACACAACAGAGACAGAGTGATCAAAATGTGACGTAAAGAATGAAGGCAGTCTTATCGGTATTGAATTTCATTGCAGAGAAAATACTTCATCTATTTTATAATGTTATAATGGCTGCTACGTTGTCACAATATCCACTGTTCGCACCTGTACCAAATCATCTATTTCCAGCACACTTCCTATATTAACCTCCTCCTGCTACTCAAATACATACAACAAATCAAGACCATCTTACTTATCTGTGTATTGTTTTTCACAGAACTAAAGCAACTGAAGGATCATTTTTAACTCATTTCACTTTTTCTGGAATTCTTTCCCTTTTAATATTTACTATTTTCTTCCTTATTTTCATTCAAATTCTTCTTTTTCCACACCTTCTCACATCCTGACCATACGCTCTGTAATCACGATATGTTAATATATGACAAAAAGTTTCATTTGGAAGACTTGACTATATATATTTTTTTTAATAATACAGTATTCTTACTTTACTCTTTTTTACATTTACATTTACATTATTTATTGTTTCAGTTTTATACACAGATTTGTTATTTTCATGAGATCTGTTACCATAATAAAGTTTTTTTTTTTTTTTATCTAAACGTTGAACAAACATGTTAATCATACTCTAAGTTCACAATAAAAAATACTAATTATTTATTTATTATTTTATTTTAATATAAGATACTTAAACAGGAATATAACTCAAATGATTTCAATAATTAATTATTCTTGCATTAAAGGAAATAACTATTTATACTAACTAAAAAAGTATTGTTAATAAACAATAATTGACTCGTAGACAGCACCTCAGCAGTCACTTCAATAAAACTTTATTGTTTAGGAGTATTCTAACTTTTTAATATCAGATTATTGTATTTATCAAAAATGCAACAATTTTTATTGTTCTTGCAATTCCGTAAGTCACAAAACTTAACCCTCAGTTGAATATATGAAAGGCCAAAGTCTCATACATATCTCTTATAACATTGAATGATAACGTAATTACAATATTTTAGTAATTTCTTCTACTTACATCCACATAAAATATTTTATTTACAATTACACCTACATTTATTTGTACATATATACCTAGTAAGTCCTACCTTTTTTTGATTTACGTTATTATTATGAATTGATTAAATTTAAAAGCCGAATCATTGTAGAGAATCGGAATAAAAAATTAAAAACAAATTCAGTAAACAACATCTTATTCCTCTTTTCGAATTTTAATATCCAAGAAAATACAATTTAATATTCAATTAAACAGAAAATGCAACTTACCTAGTTTATATTTAAAAATATAAATTTACAATTAGGATACCACAAAAAAGGAGGATATTTTATGTATAAAATTTATTGTATGTAAATTTGAACAATAAGTTAAATCATTTATTCGTCAACAGATCACCAGTGAACACCGTGAGCACCATAGGCTCCGTGAAGTCCATAGCCGAGACCAGCAGCGTAAGCGGGGCCGGCAAGAAGGGAGGCGGCAACAGCGGGGGCGGCAAAGACACCATGACCGGCCCATGGGGCTCCGACCACAGCACCACCGTGGACTGGTGGGGTCACAACAACGCCACCGTTAACTGGGGGGGTCAGGACGGCGCCGCCGTTGACGGGGGCAGCGAGGGCAGCTCCGCCGTTGACGGGGGCGGCGAGTGCGGCACCTCCGTTGACTGGGCCGGTGAGAACTGCTCCACCGTTGACTGGGCCTGCGATGGCGGCGCCTCCGTTGACTGGACCAGCGAGAGCAGCCCCATGGGACACTGCTCCTGGGATAACGGCACCGGGTGCTACAGCTCCGGGAAGGAAAGCACCTGGGGCAACGGCACCTGGAAGGACAACGCCTGGAGCGACGGCACCTGGAAGAACAACGCCTGGAGCGACGGCTCCGGGAAGAACAGCTCCATGTGATACAGCGCCTGGGATGACTACACCGGGAGCGACTGCACCGGGAAGGACATGGCCGTGGATGCTCCTCTTAAGCCTGAATTCGGAAGCCTGAGCTACTCCCACCACTAAAAGGCAAAACTAAACATAAAATAATTAATTAGTTACTATTAAATTTCCACTTGCGAAAAAAATATTAAAATTAACACCCAAACACAGCCGAGACTTACAATGAATGATTTCATACTGTTAGCTTTCCTTACTGTGAGCAACTGCATAGATGTGGCTGTTGGAAGGGCTTTTATACCCGCAAGAAGACCTTGATCTCCAAGGAAGCGAACATAGCTTTAAGAACTACACCCATTTTCTAAAGCTAGTTTTATTAGTTATATGATTTGATGATATAAGTATAGTGAAAAGAAAATAACGAAGACACTTGATAAACACTAGCGACTAGGATTTGAAAAAAAAGCTATTGGTCCCAAAATGTATACCATATTTGAAACATTTATATAATTGAGTTAACTACCGTCAAGCAGGTATTTTTTTGTTCTTCAACAATCAATCGGGTATTTTTCCTTATTTTATTTATAAAAATTTAAAGCAACGACGATAAAACGTTTAAAAGTTTATAAGTAATTTTTGTTTTTATTCCTCCTTTTTTTTGGATAATATCATAAATTAAAAAACCTTGTTTCATAAAATAATCTTTAATTGTCTAGTTAAAATCACGACCAATATATTACGCTGCTGAAAAATAAAGCATGTTTTAATATATATTTATTTAATTAGATGAAAAACTCATAATGAATGACATGAATTCACTATTATTTGTAGTAACTCTTCTCTGAATTACATTTTTAAATTATAATACCCATGTTCATTAGTAAAAATTATTATCAATATTCAGGAGTTGAGTTTAACAAGTAAGAATTTTTAATTAGTTCATTTAGACCATTTAAAGTTGTTAAAGAGAGTGAGTAACGTCAGTATTTAAATTCTGCTTTAGCTACTATTAAATAAAAACAAATTTTATATTAAATGAAAAATTTAATGTAACCTGTCTAAAAAAGATTCTGTAAAATATGCATTTTGAATTTTCGATATAAATGCTTCTAATCATTGAGCGGCCTCATATCAAATCAAAAGACGGACATTTTCATTTTCAAAAAGTAGATAAAAAGTCAATTTTTGTTTTATAGTTTCAAACTAAACTATTTATGATGGTTTTATTTAAGAATGTTCAAGTTTTACATTGAAAAAAAAATTGAATTGGTTTAAATTAAAACCATGTTACAAAAATGGGGTTTTCACAATTTTGTAAAATTATAGATGTCCGTCTTGAAGGCACTCATGTATGAAATTTTTTTTATGGTCCATTATTTATATTCTAAAGTTAACAGCTGCCAAGTTCTTGTTCAAGATTTTTGTAATTTCCAAAATATGCATTTTTATTTTCGTGTGATATCTTTGCTAGAGTTTCAACAACATTTATATTTTATTCCCAAAACATACTTTTTCCCTTTGTATTTTTTTTTAATATTACAATTTATTACGTAAATACAAAACAATGTAGGTGTAATGCAAGATAGAATTATTTTATATGGATGTAAGTAGAAGAAATAACTAAAATATTGTAATTACGTTATCATTCCACGTTACTCTACAATGATTCGGCTTTTAAATTTAATCAATTCATAATAATAACGTAAATTAAAAAAGGTAGGACTTGCTTGATATATATATATATATATATATATATATATATATATATATATATATATATATATATATATATACAAATAAATGAAGGTGTAATGGAAAATAAAATATTTAATATGGATTTAAGTAGAAGAAATAACTAAAATATTGTAATTACGTTATCATTTCACGTTACAAGAGGTATATATGAGACCAAGGTAAAATACCAACACTTTTAATTTTCTAACCACAACGGAAATTATTGGCCTTGCATATCTTTAACTGAGTCAAGTTTTGTGACTTACTAAATTGCAAGAACAATAAAAATTGCTTTATTTTTGATAAAAACAATAATCTGTTACTAAAAAGTTAGAATACTCCTTAACAATAAAATTTTATGGAAATGAGAAAGATGGAGTAATTTTAATCTATGTTTCTCCCTAATTAATTGCATTGAGCTGCTTCCTATCTTATTATTTTTATGTTAAAATATTTTTGTTACTGTTAATTAAATTTATTTTTCTTGTTAGTTTAGTTTTGTAATTTACGAGTGTTTTATTATTGTTCACAATTTTCTATAATTCATATTCTTGATTGCCTGATTTTTTTTTTTTCTGTTCTCCTTGATATCATTTGTACTCCTTATTATCATATTTGCTCATTACTAATGTAGATAGCATATATATTTTGACAGATATATGCATCTTCTAAATAAATAAAAATGTTTCTTATATGATTGAGTTCATTCTATAGAGAAATTATTGTATTATATTACTTATTCTCTATCTTTTGATATGAACTGTCTCTTTCAAAAAATCATATTATTAGTAATGTATTTATTTATTTAGTGTAAATTTATTTTTTAATTAATCAACTAATTAATAAAAAATAAATGGGATCAATTTTTATCCTCAAATAAAGCAATAACATTAAAAAAAAAATAAATAATATTTTTAAATCCATATGTGCTTGTTTTAGGTGCAAATTTTCTAATATTATAAAATAAGGCTGTGTTTATTTCTTCACTTTATTGATTTCAATTTGTATAAATTGTATAATGTAAATTGAAACAAATATAGTGAAAAAATTAACACAGCATTATTTTATAATATTATTAAATTACATTATAACTAGTCTATAACCCTTCTGCTCTTTTTTTTTTTTGGGCCATTTTAAAAACATAAATTTTATTAAAATACACATTAAGCTAGAAAAGAGACATAACCTGATTATGTTATAAATTTAAAAAATCCAAACAACAAAGCCATGAGTCTCCAACATATAAATGATAGTTAACTAGCCGGGGGCGTCTGCACAGCACTGCGCTTTGCCTGTCAACCCGGATTAAAGGTAATTAAATAAAAATAACGAATCCCGGTGCTCGGGGGGCTTTTAACTCTGGGATTAATCCCCCATCCTTACCCCCTGACGCGGGAAAACCACGTATAGCCCAAAGGAAAAGGAAGGGGAGAATAAAAAAATAATAATAATAATTTAGTGATTGGACTGCATCGACAACCTAATATGGGGAACGCAAGATAATATTCAACGAGATAGATTTTTCTATCGTATCTCTAATGTTTTTCAATTAATTTGTAAAGCCAGGTAATCAGTACCTGACGTAAGTGTCGGTGGTGGAGATTTCAGAATTAATTTACCATCAACTGTAAGTGATAAAGGATCCAACGATCAAACGTTCGATGTTAAAGTGCATCTACCTTTGGCTTTACAAACTCCATATATTCCTATATCCTCCATAATTCCTCATTGTTCGTTCCAACCTAACTGATAGATCAAGTGAATCACAATAATACTTAATCTTCCCTCTTTTCCCAGTCCGCTGGTGTTCCTCAAGGTAGCATCCTAGATCCTATCCTTTGTAAAGTTTATACAACTGACATCTCAACCCATCCGAACACTGTCGTCACCACTTATGCCGATGACACATGTGTCCTATCAGTTAATAATGATCCATCAATTGCGTCCCAAGCTCTCCGTCGTAAACCTATGTTCCTGTCCTACATTATTCTTTAATAATACCCAACTTATCCCTGTTGAATATCAAATCCGATACCTTGAACTCCACTTGGACAAATGTCTAACTTGGAATCTTCATACCAGACTGAAACCGCTTGACGTTTCCGCCTACTCCAGTATTTACTAGACAAACGCTCTCAGTCAATTACAAAAGACTCATATACATGATTACAATTAGACCTGTATGGACTTACGGAATTGAGATCTGGAGCTCGACAAAACCATTCCTAACATATCCAATCCTTACAATCCAAAATCCTTCGTAAAATCCTCAATGCTTCTTATTTTGTCACTGATAAAATCATTCATAGGAACCCTAATGTTCCTTATGTTTCCGATTTGACCCAATCCAGATACCTATCATTTCATAATAAACTTCAGAACCATCGGAACCCTCTTGTTTCCAACCTTGCTTCCGATTCGATTCCTGATAACCCACCAAGGCGTCTGAAAAGAAGATGGGCTCGAGATCTTCCGTTGTAAATACATCTTTTTTTTTAGAGTGCTACCAGTGTTTGTGACTGTTATCACATTTATTGAATGTATTTTTTTTTTTCCGAATACAGTTGTGAATATCATAAAAAAATAAAATTAAAAAAAGGTGCATCTGATTGAGCCCTTTAGTAATGAAGAAATCTAAAATATCAGGAATCCTATTGAGATGGGCCAATATGTTGGAGAAGCTAATGAAGATCATAAAATAAATTAAAAGTAAAATAATTATATGTAATAAATACAATTAAAATAATCTTAGTGATGGGTAAGATAAAATGAGTCCTGAAACACATACATGCCTATATAAACAATTTATAATCAGCCAAGAGAAGCAGGCTTGATTCTCTAGCTTTGGAAGGAAAAACAGGACTTTAGGAGAACCCTCCACTACTCTCTCAACCGCGTTACTGCTACCAACAGCCAGTGTTGATTGAGTGAGATGCAGCCACATACAAACATCAACATGTACATACAAACATGTCTTAAGTTGAGTTTAGTTTAGTATCTGGCTATAGACGAATTCCAATAAAAATATGCATTATGCATCAATTGAAATACAAACAATTTTTGTTTAATTTATCTTTGATTCGTAACATAAAAACTTTGACTTTTTAGAATGAACTACGACCAATAGTGAATTTCAATATGAAGACTTTGCATTAATGAATAATTGACGAATGATTTTAATTGTATGAGCACGAATGAAATTTAGAGTTAGGTGGCAAAAAAAAAAAAATGATATGTTTTCGAAATGGCCAATGCAAATCAGCATAATGCAAGGCCCTTAAATGAAAATTAGCTACTTTTTTTTCCGTTTCTTAATGATATTTACAACTGTATCGAAGAAATATATTTAGAAAATTTGAACATATGGATATAATGACATGAAAACCATTGTTGAGAAACTATCCAATGGTAGCACTCTAATGATATGTCTACATTAGCAGATCACGTAGCCACCTTCTTTTCAGACGCCTCGGAGGGTTGAAGAGGAAGCAAGGTTAGAAACGAGAGGATTGGGATGATTCTGAAGTTTATTATGGAAGGATAGGTGTATTTTATTATTCGCTTCCTCTTTCACAAAAGTACAATGAAATAGTTTTATAAACAATGTAACTGCCTTCATTAGATGGATTTTAAACTTGTTAAAGTTTATATTTAGTTAGTAAATTTCATTTGATTTCCTTGAAAACACATAATCCGTTATATAATAATAGTCTTTAGAAATTATTATTTATATTTTATTCTTCCCCCTCCATGACTTTCTATATTAGATATTGTTTTTTTCTAAAACTCTCCACTTTCCAACGATATAATATACGTAAACCTTCTGACTATTATTTCCGAATATTCATTTTCGAGCTTAATATGTATTTTTTCTGCTTTCTCCTTTATTCAATTATCGAATTCTTTCAACACTTATATTTAACCTGTTTTCATTATTTATAGCAATGATAAATAGTTAATTATTTGAAATAAACAAAATTAAATGTACTTAACAGAAAAACATGTTGAACATTGGGCATTTGAGGCCTGAAAAGTGACATCAATCAAGACAGGTGATAAGATCTAAATGATATGAACACCAATTAATTATAGATTCATGCACCGAGTTTAATCAAAATCGTTAGAGTCGTTTTTGAGAAATTCTTAAAAATGCGTTTAATCGATTCAATAAAGTGCCACTTCCGGTTAGCCTATTTTGACAAAAAATGTTGTTGTAACATCTCAAGCATATAAAAACCTTAAATATGCAATTTCACTTTCGACATTTCGCTATTGAGCTAGACTGATAAAATACACAAAGACCATTTTGCGGGACATGGCTATTTACTCAGGGAACCTCAAAATGTGAATTTCCGTTGAAAACTCAGATTCGATAATATTCACGATCACGATACTTTTTCCCGTTAATATATATTACATATCTAGGTAAGTGAAAATAAAAATAACCGTCCCTCAAACCATGCTGACATACGCCTAACATTAAGTAAACATATTTTTAAAGAATTGCTCACAATTTACGTTTTGTCAAGTATTCTGCACCTACGGATGGTTCTCATTCGTTTATTATTTTGTCAACCCGAAAACTAACATTGAGATTTCCATTTGATTTATATGCCTAAGTGTAACATAAACAAAAAAGAAATTTTAATCGGATCAATTTGTGAATATATAACATCGATTTTCATATCGGTCTTTATCGTAAAATGGAAAGGAAATTCGGCAGGTTGATATTTTAGTAAACAGTTTAAAAATAGTTGACCATTGTTTATAGTAATTTGCAACGGTTATAGAAATATCGGATAAATTTAGAATGTTTTATTTTATCGAATAAATAAAAACATCTGTTTTTACATATTTATATTTTTGTTTCATCCGTAATCCAAATTTTGAGTGAGCTCGAGCGTACAGCGTAAGGGTGTTCTTAATAATTGTTATGACTACCTCATTTATACTAGTATTATGCTACTATATGGTATATTATCTTTAAGATATTATGTTATACTGAATATATTAAATTTGAGAAAAAAATTAAAAAAGAAAAAAATGTCATGCATATAACAGCAACAGCATAACGCTATATAAGACCGTCGTTGAGGAGGGTTGATGGCGTGGCTAATGATAATATAAAGAACCTCAGAATCATTAATTGGATGGGAGTCGCACAAGACCAAGGCAATTGGCTAAGTTGGAACTAGACACGGGTTTGATGCTCCGAGGAACCATCTGGTGGTAGTCTTATCAATTAATTAATATTTAATAAATAGATACAAATGATGTTATTTAAGCGAAACCTATTGTCATTTCAGTCAAACTTATTGTCTGTTTTAATTCTGTTTCCGGAAATAAATCCGAAAAACATTTTATAGTTAATTCTTTTTTTAGTTTTATGTCATTTTATGGGATTAATAGAATTAACAATCCTAAAAAAATAGGACTATTTTTATTTTAATTACAATTAATTTTGTTTGTCAGCTATTGTTCGCAACACATTTTATCAGAAATTATTAACAGAAACAAAGTGGAATAAGTGAATAAATATTCCTTTATTATTTTTGTAAAATCACTAAACAGAATATGATTCAAATCTTAACAATTTATGAGAAATCATTAAAGTTTTCAAATTACAATTAAGACAAGAAATTCTTGCCATGTTAATTTAAAATGAAACTTATCTTACTAAATATTTTATGAGATCTCACCAGTTAATAAAAAGAAACTATTGAACATGCAGTTTAAATAAAAAATAAAATAAAATCTACCGATTGATGTAAAATAAGCTAACCATTTAAAAATTAAATCATTATTTACTTAACTAGATTTAAATTATAGAAAATAAATAATAATCTTTCAAGAAATAATAAGTGTACAGAAATTTCTGGCTAACATTCATTCATATTTCGTTTTCATTCATTAAGTATGAGAACTTTCCTAAACTTTCCACAGCCTTGGATATCTCATCAGTAACGGATAATTCATGATCTCTCATCCTAATAGCAGGTATATATAGGACTTCAAAAGTCACCACGCTAGATCATGTTTCTGATAAAATCTTAGTTCTTAAAACTCAGTGTTTCTTTATATAAAAAATTAAAATAACAAGTACAAATAAAAACCACTTAATAAAAAAAAAGAATAATAAAAAAATCAAATTGATTTCTCCAAATGCCCTCTCCGAACCGGATATTTTCTTTTTCAAATTCAGGGCACATTTGGAATCCAACGAGGCATAAAAAATTTAAAAGGTGGAATTATAACTTTTTAATGTCCTGAATAACATATTAACAGTCGGTAAAGAAATCGAAGAATACATGAACTTCTAAACAATATTTTTGGTGGATAAATAATAATGAATAAAAATTATTCTGAAATAGGAATAATAAGTTACGTTTAAAAAAAAAAATTAGTGGGCACAGATTTGAATGATGGCTTGCTAAGATTAGCATTACAAAGTATGAGGTCCTACAAATAATTCAACTAGGAAGGGACGATAAGGCATTGACTATTCATTGCAGTTTGTTTTCACAATGAATGAACAAGGCAAAAGAACTATTCATTGACAAATATTTTTATTCAATTTAATTCACTTTCAAAAACTGGAGAAGTTCTTGTTGCATGTAATAAAAGCATGGCTTCAATTCAAAGTAATACATTTTAAAATGAAACAATTTACTTTGTCTGAAGAATTGATGAAGTGGAGACATGATTCCAACAGTGGACAGCAGGTATTGAATCCAAGACTTTTCCTGGATTTTTGTAATATAGCTACTGAATAATTTAATTTAACCTTATTGAAAACAATTATTTTAATCACATTTAGGCTATGTTCACTTATTAATAATTCAAAGAATCAAGTTAAAAGTGGAAATTATTAAATACACTCAAATATTACTTATGTTAAATCAAGCAAATTTGTTAAATATAAAAATGTATATTTAAGTCAAAGTTCTGAATTTAAATCAAATGAATAAATTTTATCATATTGTCGGCACTATGTTTATGTAAATTATTCGTTACTTTTACATGATACCAACCATATGTACATTGAAGTAATATTTGCAACTTATAAAGTAAAATTTTCAAATACAATAATTTACAAAAAATGTGTTTAATTATTCATAATTATAAATTAAGGTAATTTAGAATTTAAAAAAATATAAATACTTATTATAATAAAAAGAAAGGAATAATAGAATCAACTAAATGATTTTTATTTATTTAAGTCTTTGGACGTAAATTTCTGTTACTTAAGGTTTTATCGATTTAATTTTTTTAAATACAGACTTAACTTTAACAATAAAAAATAATATAAATATCCGTTATTTTAAAAATAATACTTCAAGGTACTTTTAGATGAATTTATGCATTTAATCAGAAACTGGTTGCACAGGGCACTTTTACACTACCTAAACGCCCAAGGACTAGCAACTAGTATATAAGCCTTAGTTTATCACGTCAGTTACATAGTGGTTAATCAGCTGCAGAGAAGCAAACATGAAAACTATCTTGGTATGCGATTATTGCAGTTCATATTTTAATAAAAATTTATAAGCAATTAAAAGTTTTGAATAAATACTGTTTTGTATCATTTTCAGGTTTGTCTTTTGGTAGCAGGAGTATCCCTTGCCTCAGAGCACAGGCTGAGGAGGAGCCTGGGACATGGAGTGCTGGTTCCCGGTGCCGTGGCTCATGGTGTGGTCCTCCCTGGAGCGGTGGCTCATGGAGCCGTCATTCCAGGAGCGGTCGCTCCAGGCGTTGTAGTTCCAGGAGCTGTTTCTCATGGAGCCGTCATTCCAGGAGCTGTTTCGCATGGAGCCGTCATTCCAGGAGCAGTAGCACCAGGAGCTGTCGTCACTGGACCTGTCTCTGCTGCCGCCGCTTTGGCCGGTCCAGTTAATGGAGGTGCCGCCCTCGCTGGTCCAGTCAACGGAGGAGCTGCTCTTGCCGGTCCAGTTAACGGAGGCGCTGCCATCGCTGGCCCAGTCAATGGTGGAGCTTATCTTACTGGCCCAGTCAACGGTGGTGCTGCTCTGGCTGGTCCAGTAAATGGTGGTGCTGCTTTGGCCGGTCCTGTCAACGGTGGAGCCGCATTGAGTGGTCCCGTCAACGGTGGTGCCGCCCTCACCGCCCCCGTCAACGGTGGTGCCGTCTTGACTGCCCCCGTCAACGGTGGAGCCGCTCTTGGAGCCCCAGTCAATGGAGGAGCTTACCTCACCGCCCCCGTCAACGGAGGAGTCGCCCTGGGAGCCCCAGTTGCTGCTGCTGCCCACCTCGGTGCTGCAGCATGGGGCGTGCCAGGCGTGGTAGGAGGTGTTTATGGTGCTGCTCACGGACATTGGGTGCATTAATGCTGTGATTAACATGATATGACTCTGGCTGATGCTTGAACCTTGTAAATAAATGTTGATTTAAAAAAGAAAGTTTTTCCATGACCCTTTATATCATTATTTATTGGTTAATCTAAATAATTTACTAAAAAGAATAACATGAATAACACGAAGCGAAAAACCATTGTTTTCCTGTTCATTATAATTCCGCAGTCTACTAAAGCCTTCTTAACGCTACACTTTATAATATAATTTAATTTGAAATTTGAAAATAATCTAAAACTCCAATGGTTGGTATTATTACGATTAGCGATCTGATATTAATTGAATCCCTTCAATATTTAGTTAATTTCTCTCCGACATTATTCGTGTGAGATCCGTAGGTATTGCTAAGATACTGGCAATAGCGGGTGGAGTTTCTGAAACGATGCATTAAGTCTATTCACCAAATTTAGTATTTACGTTACTTTATATACTTTTATTTCTATGGACTCCAAAAAGAAATCGATCTACTTAAAAATGTAATATGGGTCTGGGTTGCCTCTCAAAGCCTTCGCCAGTTTGCTGGAATGCAGCTGTCCAGTTCTGGATTTGCAGGAGGTCTTTCGAGTCCACAGAAACTCAGTCATGCTCCTTTGCCCTTGCTCTTCCTATTCTTCTTGTCCTGTGCAGTTCCTCCGACATTAGTAGTTTGGGCATTCCGGAAACATCCAAAGAACTGGACCACGCCCAACTCTTGTTAAAGCTCATGAAGTTCTTGATTTTTTTCTTCTGCCCTCGACATTTCCATCCTTAACACGTCCAAAGATTTACCGGAAGTTTCCTCGTCTAAACGTAAGAATCTCATTTAATATGATTAAAGAAAGCTAAATACTTCAGATTCGCTTGTGATATACTCGGTTTTGTTATAGTTAATATTACATTTTCTGCCACGAGGTAACATATTGCTATGTATTATTATTATTGCTATAATTATTTCAAATGAATAAGTATAGTCTAAATAATTATTGCTAACACATTGTCCGGTTACCTAAGGGAGAGTAAAGACCCCCTAGGGAATGCAACCTTTTGTGAGGCGCAATAAAACACTTTAGGGCAGAGGTCGGCAAAAACACCAAAGGCCCGACACCGGTCTTACGTGGCCATGTTTGGAGAGGATCGGAAGGCTTGTCTAAGCAAGGGAAGTAACAGAAACATCTTCGAGAAAGATGAAACAGCCGTACCGCTTGGAGGCGTGGTCATCCCTTATACTACAAAAATTCAACCAATGAAAACCATTCTTGCCCCACCCTGAATATATCTATAAAATCTACTGAGATGCATAGAGGAGAGGTCTGATGTGGAGACCCGGCCTTGAGTATGGATCTTAAGTTTTCTTCCGGCTTGGGGACTTAAGCCTTGGCTCTGCATAGACCATGATGTTCCTGGTAGGGCTTTGAACCATGACGAGGTGACCTCAGATCAGCATATGCAGTGCTGGAATCAACTGCATCAGGTCATATGCAATAGATAACTTTTATTCACAACCCTAATGTTAGAATATTTCATGGCAATATAAATTTACAAACAGTCTATCTGAAATCATGCCTTCACAGTTAATTATTGAATTCATTGATTCTTGTAACAATAATATGTAATTCTTGTAAATATAATTTGTATATATTCTTTATTAAAAATTAAAATAAATTAAGTTTGTTAGTAAAAATTATTTTAATCATGCCACATATTTATATAATTATAATCACAGGTAATGGGTATAATTAGAAAGCACGATAAACAGAAGCCAGCCTTTGTGAAAAGAAATCCAATTAATTAATCATGGATTAAATATGTTAAAAAACACAATTTGTTTAACTAATATTTTATTAATTAATTCTTATTAAATAATCCTGCAAATTATCCTCAATAATTATCCAGTGGCATCTCGAATAAATTTTAACACCCAAAAATGTAGCATCTTTTATGTGTCATCCCTTTTTGGGGGCATAAGATATAGCAATATTATCAATTATTTAATATTCAGAAAAAAGGCTAACAATTTCTAAATCAGGAAAAGTTCAATTTATAATTTAAACATTGAGGCTTGCTTACATACTGTTATCTTTATACTTTGTTACAAAACAGTGCCTTTATAGATTGTAAGCTCGGATATCACATGAAAACGCTGTGAATGAATATTATGAGTAAAATGGTTGTAGAAATTGGGAGAGATCTCAAATGACTTCATTCTCGTTTCTGTTTTTGCTAAATGGTTCCTCGCTGAACAGGCGGGACTCTACTCCTTTTTGTTTTCAGTCATTCAGGTACCGAGTTCTTTATACTTCACTGGTTCTGCTTCCAAGCTCTTCGTAAGGACACCTTCAACTAAATTCTCCATCCAACTCCAACGGACTCCTTCTCCACTTGACACGCTTCCCCCAAAGAACTGCCTTATCCGCTCGACCGACTTTTCCAACTGATTTTTTGTTCTTCCCAAAAAAAATTGGATCCAAATTTCCTTCTCATTTTTCTTTCAGTCTTTCCTTTTGGCCAAACTTTTTATATGATGGAACTACCACTTCTACTCCTTCTTTTGTAGAATTTTGAAGAATGCAGCGACGGGCCTTCGTAGGCTTATCTTTATGATCTGTGTTTGGCCTTCGCTTACCACTGATATTTTGTGTTGTATTTCAATTTACACAATGTCATCCTCGCTCGATATGTATCAGAACCATGTTCCTACCTCATGATAAATAAATAAAAGATAAGCCAATCTTTGGTTAGTTAGAATATATAAATCGTCTAGTTACTCATAAGAGTAACTTAGCCATTTATACGGTTAAATACTCGAATGTTTCTAATATTAATTAATTAAAGAAAAAAAAACTACACAATTTTAGTATAGTTACCTCTCCATTTTTATGGGGCGTTCAACACAATAAAGATTAATATAAATTCATGAGAGCTAGCAGGGTTACCATAGAAAATATTTACAATGACAGATTATGAGGCCGTACAGCAATATTTTCTTTTTTTTTAAATAAATGCTACTACATGTCATTTTAATTGCTCCATATGATTTCTCTTGTAGTAAGGCGTGTGATTCATTCTTTTGATCTAGTTCTAATGCGATATAAAATGTTATTTATAATTCACAAGAAACTAGGTGTCTAAGAGATGATTACAAAAAGCGAAATTTAAGGGTAACAAGAATGTATTTGAATGAAGGAATGAAATTCCAGATTAAATAGTATATTGATTGAAATGAGATTGAATAATCAAGATGGTCGAACGTTGTATATTTTTGAGGAAGGAAATGGTCCGGGATTACTGTAATAAAAAGACTACACTTGTAAAGAAACTAATAGATAAATAAAATAAATTTTTTTACTCACTATTTTAGTCTTTTTATGACTGCCACACCGGACCATCTTCTTCCTCTAAAATTCCAGATGATGGCAGATCCGAAAGTCATAAACATATCAATACATAAATGGGATATTAAAATAACAACGAATCTACGCCTCCTCACACAAGTTAAGTAACATAAGTATAATATGAGTATGTTAGTCGACATAATCATAAACTCCGATTTAAATATTTTTAAGTTTAATACTTTTAACAGAACTTAGATTATTTTGAGATTTTTTTTTCAGGAAACCTCTGATTCTTGTTCAGCGAAATAATATTTGGAAGTATCACTATTTAAGGTTACATTATGACTCCTGTTTTTCCTTATGATAAACAACTTTATTTAGGTTATTCATATTTTTCTGAGATATTTTAATAATTCTTATATTTAATCTATATATGATTATGTATTTATCAAAACCCATTTTTAATCTCACAGCTTTTTATGTTACTTTTTTTTTTTACTTAATTTTTCAACTCACACCTGTCAGAGGTTCCGACAATCAGCGAATGTGATTCAAGATGTAGAAGATTAATAGTTCTTGGAATAGGCGTGAGGGAACATTTAAAACATTTTTATAAACATATAAAAAATATTATTTAACTATATTAATAATAATATTATTATTTAAGATTCGACTCCAAGACCAATTTTCAAACATTTTTTTTTTTTTTTTTAACAAAATATTAGTCCCATGACATTATTTCAGTAGAAAAAAGCCTTTTCAGTATCCATAAAGAATTACTTTATCTCACATTTTAGCCTACTCAGGCATCTTCAAAATTAAAAAAAAATCATATCTAAAAATTTCTTAAATACCTATTTTTGCTATATTGCCTAATCTGAACTTTTTAACTGTTGCATTAATCCGCGCCCTCACCTCCTGGTTCGGGAAAACAGAACCCCGTATGGATAAAAAGGCGAGGAGGGGAAGAAGAATATGTGTGCGTGTGCGTTTGTCAGTAGAAGTTAAAATACTGGTTTGTAGTGTGATCTGCAAACCCGCACGACGCATTTTAGTTGTCATTGGTTCAACATATGCGCGGTTCCTAAACCTAATCCAGCGCTAAGATCACCGATGAGCATCAAAAATCCATCCATGTCGATCTACGACGTACAAAAGTCATGTGTAAAATTCACAAGCATGTTTAGCTGCGACTATACGATGCTGCAAACTCCTTCGAACGATTGATGAATATTGTTCTGAAACTCTATATTTCTGAACATATGACACAACATCCCATGGCAGATTGTCGAACTATGAGTCAAAAAGTCTAATGTCGAATTTTCGGGTTCGAACATGTTCCATCTTTCATCACCCTTTTTACAAAAATCAAAGGAATTCCGTGAATCCAACAGCATCATGTATTTTTTCACGACAATATAGCAAAAAGCTAAAATTATTTATAACTAAAATTTCGTATCTTTTGGCTGGGAATATTTAATAAAAACAACCATTATTTATTTAATTTTTGTTAAATCTATAATGTTTAATTAAAAATAACGGGCAAGTTCATTTAGTGCAAAAGCATCAAATTAATAAAAGATTTTATTTGACTACCCGTGCATTAAGAATACATCCCCATGTAATGCGTCCCATGTTATTATACTGAAAAGAGTAATTATCAGAACGAAGTCAGTTTATAAGATCCTTATTTCCTACTTTTCAACCTAAGCATGTAGGTCATCATCAGGATTGAAAATTTATAATTTCAGAGACAATAATAAGTTATAACAATTGATAGTTAATAAAGATAAATAATTATGTATGATAACTATCACTTTAGAAACTAATAGCCACGTGATTAATTGTTATAAAATTTAAACATATGTAAGTGTAACCTTGATGGAGGTGTGTGTAAATGTAAGCAATTGTCTTTATTGCAATAAAATCTGTAAAACTACTTAAGGAGATCTTATTCCGAGATAGAAGAAGTTAAGATGTATAAGTAATAATATCAAAATAATAAATAGTGTATAATGATGTGAATACATAATGAGGTAGACAGATGTAATACTTACTAAGCTTTACAAACTATAAAAAAATATAGATAATAAATTTAAAAAAATGCAATATTTAATATTACTAACCATATTAGTACAACTGAAGTTCAAGTACAAGTACTTAGGTAGGTAAATCAAAGAATATTCCAGATGGGCTTTTATGATATCCTTGTCCCTGCTTCTGAAAACAACATCTAGAAAATCTTCAAAAATATTAAATATTACATTTGATTAAATTGATTATGTATATTATTTCATAGATTGTATAGCTTATTACATATTATATTTCCCTATCATAATCAAATATGAACATCATTTTACATTACCTCTAACTCAATCAGTATCTGTCAATATTAACAATTATCTGCTTTATCATATTATGACTCTAATGTAATACATTTTTTAGCCCCGATGATGACTAACAAGCTTGGGTTGAAACGTTGCCAATAAAAATATTAAAAACGGACTACGTCCTGACTATGTATCAGTTACCATGATATGTAAAATAATCCACAAACTTCCTTTAATATACTGTATAAAGGAATCAATTAACGATTGACAATTTATATATTTTTTAAAAATAAATGATTTAATAGAACACAAAAACACCAACAGAAAATAACGAATAATCACTAAAAATAATTATAATAATGCTTAGAGAATTTTTCGGAAGATAAAATATATCACCAAATTCTAATTTTAACATTATCCCTCAGTAATTTAACTCTACCATTAAAAACTAATAAAACTAAACCAGATAGTCCTCTTTAACTTCAAGATGGTAAAAAAAAAAGTAAAAGAAAGTGATTTACTTACACTCTTGTCTAGTTGTTCACGGAAGGTACTGTTACTAGACTTAAACGCCCAAGGACTTCCTTCAAACAGGTATATAAGGCCTACAGCGTTTATTCCACCATGTACTGGTTAATCAGCTACAGAGAAGCAAACATGAAGTCTATCCTGGTAAGGATTAATAGCAATGAACATTAATAACTATTTAAAATAAAAAATATGTAGAATTTGATTTTAAACATGGTGTCATTTTCAGGTTTGTCTTTTGGTAGCAGGAGTAGCCCTTGCATCAGAGCACAGGCTGAGGAGGAGCCTGGGACATGGAGTGCTGGTTCCCGGTGCCGTGGCTCATGGTGTGGTCCTCCCTGGAGCGGTGGCTCATGGAGCCGTCATTCCAGGAGCGGTCGCTCCAGGCGTCGTCGTTCCAGGAGCTGTTTCACATGGAGCCGTCATTCCAGGAGCTGTTTCGCATGGAGCCGTCATTCCAGGAGCTGTTTCGCATGGAGCCGTCATTCCAGGAGCAGTAGCACCTGGAGCTGTCGTCGCTGGACCTGTCTCAGCTGCCGCCGCTTTGGCCGGTCCAGTTAATGGAGGTGCCGCCCTCGCTGGTCCAGTCAACGGAGGCGCTGCCATCGCTGGTCCAGTCAATGGTGGAGCTCATCTTACTGGCCCTGTCAACGGTGGTGCTGCTCTGGCTGGTCCAGTAAATGGTGGTGCTGCTTTGGCCGGTCCTGTCAACGGTGGAGCCGCATTAAGTGGTCCTGTCAACGGTGGTGCCGCCCTCACCGCCCCCGTCAACGGTGGTGCCGTCTTGACTGCCCCCGTTAACGGTGGTGCTGCTCTTGGAGCCCCAGTCAATGGAGGAGCTTACCTCACCGCCCCCGTCAACGGAGGAGTCGCCCTGGGAGCCCCAGTCGCCGCCGCCGCCCACCTTGCTGCTCCAGCATGGGGTGTGCCAGGCCTGGTCGGTGGTCTGTACGGTGCTGCCCACGGACATTTGGTGCATTAATCGAATAATAAAATGACTGAAGTATTTATAGTGTAAATAAAGTGTTTTATTATCCATTACATCCATTTATTTGTGAATAACTAAAAAATTACACACTTTTCCCTTGGTAATGCCCGTGATTATAAAAGAGATTACTTAATTCCCTACAAAAGGAAAAAAAAAATCATTGAAATTGGACAATTTTTAGCAAAGATACACTAACTGAAATTTGTAATTATGTTGGTTCCAAACAAAACTGAAGATTTAAATTAATTTTTGTTTTATTTGTCGATTATATTTATTGATAAAGTAACATTTGATTTCTTTATCTTTTGATGCGTTGCATTATTTTATTTCTTATTAATCTGTCTTATGATAACAATATGCTGTGCGAATTTTTTGCCCAGCCTACTAGTTGTATACTATTGGTTTTATGTTAGTAGATCCTCAAAACATTTGCGTGAAAACCTTTTTGGAAAAATTATGGATAAGTAATATATAAAAGTTAAATTAACAATATGAAAGCCCTGTACAGAGGAGTATCGGGTATCCGGAGATTAAAACGGAGATGATCGGCAAAGGTCAATTGCTCTCGGCTGCTTCCGTATAGCTTCCAAACCTTATTTCTTCTTTAGTTACTAATAAATTTTCTTCATGTATTATATTTGACCATTTTTCATACCAATTCCTAATGTGAAATGGTTTATTATTTTTAACAAAATAAATAAATAAAGTTAATTTATAAGAAACAATTTTGGAAATTGGACATTTAAACACTGCTAGAGAACATCAATAAGAATGAAACCTACATTATGTTATCGTTAGAGCCGATATAAAGGGGCAATTCCGGTTAGCCAATTTTGAGGAAAAAGTTGATATAACATCTCAGTCATATACCTATCTTAAATACGTAATATCAGTTTCGTACGACTTTTCAATTTTGAGCTAGACTGTTGCCATGCACACAGACCATTTTGCGGGACTTTGTTATTTGGACTCAAGTGACCTCAAAACGCAGATTTCCGTTGAAAACTCAGATTCGGATTTTCACGATCGCAATACTATCTCTTGCTGTATAATACATACATAAGCAAGTGAAAGTAAAAATTTGGGACTCGTATCGGTAAATGATGGATATGGAAGCAATACAAATATTAGATGATGTAACATATTATATTAAAACATTTAATTGCCATACATTTTTCCTACTTGTCAAATCCATTAAATTTATCCATTTTTTTTTTTTTTTAATTTCCTTTCTCTTCTTCGATTATATTTTTATTATTGATTTAATTATAACAGTTCAACATTTATTTTAGATCGAGAAAAATTTCGTTGTAAAATGAGGCCTTTAAATTTATTTATATTTCATTATTGATATTTTACATATTTTTATTTATACTATATAAGTTAATTTAATTATGGAAGGATATGGTCCTGTGTGGCGATCATAAATAGACTAAATAGTGGCAAAACTATTTTATTAAAAGCCAACGTTTCGACTTTTAATAAAATAGTTTTGCCACTATTTAGTCTATTTATAACCGCCACCCCGAACCATCTCCTTTCTTAATAATGCAACGATCAACTATTAAATATTTAATAATTCATTTATATTATATATATTTTAATTCTTTAAATATATGTATTTATAAGCAATTCAATTGTTGTATTAACGTTGTATCATTTAATAATATTCATCAAAATTGTACATGTTGATGTGTTGAAGTATTATCGGAGTTCCATGTTGCTCGTCTATGATAGAACATATTAAGAACGCGTTTAGGGATATACCCTCGTCATCCTACTGGAGGTTCTACACACAAACCAGGCGTAGTACGGTGGTATGAAGTCGGCAATCAAGCTGGAAAAAAAGTCAAAATATCAATAGTGAATATTTTTGTGGAAAATTAACTAAACGTATGTTAATTAGTTGGTGTGGTTAAAAAAGAAAAAAAAAATATCCGAGAAAATAAAAGAAGCAACATGTGTAAAAATATTAGTGAACTCTGAGAATTTGTTCTAGTTACTTCGTCCATTTTTATGTTTAGCAAACGTTCAAATACAATTTGTAAATGTTGAGCTAGAGCAGTGAGCTGATTTAATTTTTGGCCGAATATGCACCTACTAAATTCCGAAAGGTAAAAACTTTAGAATATTAATTTCGATATAATAAAAGTATCCCTATTTTTCTGAGAATGAAATTTTGCACATCAAAATTTAACTAATTATAATTTTAACAAAGAATATAGTTTACATATTCAATACTTTATTTCAGTTTCGAAAATTATGGTGTCATGAAGCACTCCTTTTAATCATTTAAAGGACAAATATACAATAATGATGAACATAAAATATTAAAGAAATCAATTTACGTAGGTTTTTAATTAACTTATTTAATTTACAAGTTTTTGAGAAAATAAAAAATATGATATTCATCGAAATTTGGATTCTTTTCTCAAAATAAGATACAAATCAATTATAATTAGACCACCTGATGAGCCAAAGATGCAAATATGTTGATAGTAAATATGTAAAGAAATTTACACCTGTTCTTAAGTTAAGACTGATCTCGGAGTGTGGTCGTTATATAGCGAGACGTTCAAAGGAAGATTGGTTAATCCAGGAGTTCTTTTAGAAACATTTCTTTGATTTTTATCCCTAAGGCTTTCATCGCTCACAGGTACACGGATGTGACTTTTGAGTGATTGAGAGGCATACACGGAACCTAATTTGTAACGAGAGGTTTAAAACGCAAAAGAAATAATAAGAAATTTCGAATCTCAGGACAATATTTTATGCAATTCGTTTTAATTAACACAATATTTAAAAATAATTGAAGAGATGGAAAGTTTCATTTTTCAATTAGCCCTCAGTCGTTGTTGGGCCAGCAATTTTATCAATGTGCTATACAGGCACCGGAGGTCGACTGCTTCCAAAATAAAAAAAAAAGTGCACAAAATCGACCACCAATAGAGACGATAATAATAGATACTGGTGTTCGAAAAAAAATAGAGTGAGGAGAATGGCTCCGGGAGGTACATATCCGTTAAAAATTGAACATCGGAAATTCGAATCATTTACTTTCTAAATGATCTGGAAAAGAAAGAAGTTTGCATTGTTTTGCTTTTGAATATCAAGTAATTCCCTAACGGCCCAGTTTCAAAAATATTGGCATTGTTTCCGAAAAATATTAACCAAATATCAAATGGTAAAATAAATATCGTATTATTATAGGTTAGTACTGTCGAATCTAATTGAGTCATTGTTAAATAGTTAATAAAATTAACAATCATTAGTAGAATGTTATTTTTCTGAATCTATTCAATTGAGCAATTAGTTCAGTTTATTTAGAGATCTGAATGTAAAATGGGTATAAAGTGATGAGAACTAAGTATACTTTTTGATCAATAAAACACTTTATTTACACTATAAATACTTCAGTCATTTTATTTTTCGATTAATGCACCAAATGTCCGTGGGCAGCACCGTACAGACCTCCGACCAGGCCTGGCACACCCCATGCTGGAGCAGCAAGGTGGGCGGCAGCAGCAACTGGAGCTCCCAGGGCGACTCCTCCGTTGACGGGGGCGGTGAGGTAAGCTCCTCCATTAACGGGAGCGGAAAGAGCGGCACCACCGTTGACGGGGGCAGTCAAGGCGGCTCCACCGTTGACGGGACCAGCCAATGCAGCACCTCCATTAACTGGACCAGCTAGAGCAGCTCCACCATTCACTGGACCAGTAAGGTGTGCTCCGCCATTTACTGGACCAGCAAGAGCAGCACCACCGTTGACAGGGCCAGTAAGATGAGCTCCACCATTGACTGGACCAGCGATGGCAGCTCCTCCGTTGACTGGACCAGCGAGGGCGGCACCTCCATTAACTGGACCGGCCAAAGTGGCGGCAGCTGAGACAGGTCCAGCGACGACAGCTCCTGGTGCTACAGCTCCTGGAATGACGGCTCCATGCGAAACAGCTCCTGGAATGACGGCTCCATGAGAAACAGCTCCTGGAACTACAACGCCTGGAGCGACCGCTCCTGGAATGACGGCTCCATGTGCCACCGCTCCAGGGAGGACCACACCATGAGCCACGGCACCGGGAACCAGCACTCCATGTCCCAGGCTCCTCCTCAGCCTGTGCTCCGATGCAAGGGCTACTCCTGCTACCAAAAGACAAACCTGAAAAAGACACCATGTTTAAAATCAAATTCTACATATTTTTTATTTTAAATAGTTATTACTGTACATCGCTATTAACCCTTACCAGGATAGACTTCATGTTTGCTTCTCTGTAGCTGATTAACCAGTACATGGTGGAATAGACGCGACAGGCTTTATATACCTGTTTGAAGGAAGTCCTTGGGCGTTTAAGTCTGGTAAAAGTACCTTCCGTGAACAAGTAGTCAAGAGTGTAAGCAGTCCATATTTTTATTATTTTATCCATTAGCATCTTAAGTAGTATTTGTTCAATTGTATTTAGGCATCGGGCTTAATTATTAAGGAGTAGTATAACAATAAATATTCCAAGATTGGAGTAACTTAACCTCATTAAAATCATCACCTTTTAAGATCTTGATTTAATTTATTTCAAAATATTCAACAGATTGAAAAAATAAAAATTCAGAAAATAAACTGTAATAGTATTTACTTCCTTTGATTAAATTCTAACGAGTGTTAGAAATAATTAACAATTTCCATATATAATGTATAAGACTTATATTTTAACACACCGCTTTTTTCATTTAAAAATAGTTTGTTGATCTTTAAGAACTAATTTCCTTGTGATTTTTTTTTTTTAAATCACTGAAACAATATTTAAACAAGTATTCAATTCAAAACTATTCATTGTACATAGTTTATTCTTATAATTTAATGTGTACTACTGTTTTTCTCGGACTAGAACGAAAAAAAAAATACAAATTGTTTGTTTGATCATTTATTATGTTAATTTATTTTAATAAAATGGAATGATATATTCGATGGAGAAATATTCAATTCACATGTGCACTGATATTTTTGTGATATTGTTCCTACTTTTATATACCCAATTTTCTAAAAGCTTAATTACAATATTCTTAATGTTGCTTCAGTAGTAATGAAATAATAAAAAATATCAATTCCAAAGTTAAATATACTGGAAATTCATTAGTTGCAACAAATAAAAAAACTTGGCGAGAGTGCCATTCGAATTGGCCTATTGTTTTAATTTTTTTAAGTGTTATGAATATTCAGAGCTTTTTGCTTCAAGAGGGAAGTATACATGAATGTTACACTTATTACACAGTTCGAGAATTGTTGTAGCACCTTTACTGTATTAAGTTAATGTCAGAGGACATTCGAGCTGGTACAACGATAATTGTAAATCATTATCTGAAGTCGCTCTAAAAATCTCAAGAGGAGATGTTCGAAAGTGAGCTATGGTTCATCGACTTTAGAACTGATTGGACAGCATTATTGGTATAATATAACAATCAGGAGTGTTTTTCCTTTTTATGGTATATTAAATAGCAGATTGCTTAAGAATAAAGTTTATTTAATTTTTTTTTAATTTAGAGATGTAAGGCTGAAGTGTGATAGGCCGTATAAAAACCAGGAGCTGGTTTCGTTCTGTATCATATTTTATGGAATCCAGAGATACTTAGCAGTTGTAATGGCTGTTTTTTTGACATTTTATAAATCTGCATTTATTTAGTATATGGTTTTATTATAACTAATTATATTTTGTACTTTTCCGAAGTATTCCAAAGGATCTATATGCAGTAGTTTCTTGAGGTTACTTAAAATAATGCAGGGTAAGATGAGGCGATTAAGCTTTTGAAATTTTTGCCGACCACTGTGTGTAGATTTAAGAACTGTAATTTTTACAATATCTTAAATATTACCATGAATTTTTGAAGTGAAAACTTCTTTAGTCACGTTTTGGACTTTTTTTGTTGAGATTGAAGTAGATGGAGCCTTTAGATTTCCGATGTATAAAGTCGACTAATTGGAGTGTTCTTGCATTTGGAATTAAATATCTCAATAATTAAAAATCGGACCTGCATATAGTTAGCGAGGGAAATGTTCATAATTTCATCCTCTCTTTAATGGGCTATTATTCAAAATTGTATTTTAACGCGAGATTGCTAGAAAATAATCTGAATCGAGATTTTACAACAAAATTTATTTGTCATACTTTACTGGAAGAATCAGTTGATTTTTATGATTTACTATACCTACCCGGACATAGGTCAAATGTTAGGCTCAAATTTTAGACTATGTTTTAAAACTCTCTGACGATATTCGCCGTGCTAAGGAGAATTGCTTTCTGCCCTTCTTCCAATACTTTTTCTGGCAGTTTCAACTTCTCAATGAAGCGGATGGTAAAGTCTGGGATGAGGTCATTGCTGGAGATTACTAACGGAAATATTTTATATAATGCAGTCTATAATTTTGTCGAAGTTATTATTTATTTATTTTTTATTATATTTATTGAGATATATAATATTCTGTCTCGTGGACAATAATTTCAGTGATAAGTGAACACATTCACACCATATATACAGAATATATAAAATTAACAAAAGTAAAACTATGTACGATAAAAAAAATTAAATAACCTAAATATAAGTAAATTAAAAATATAAAAACACATTCATACCAATATACAATATATACAATTAGGCAGGGAACCCAAAGTCAGGCTTCTCCCTCCAACTATTATTATAATTAAAAAAGATATATAAATATTAAATTGTTTCTATAAAATATGTTGAAATCCTAAGAATTTACTTCAATGTTCACATTCTTTCAAAGATCAAAATGGAGGTCCGAAATATGGATGGTGATATTACTATTTATATATTTGTTAGCTATCGATATTTTAGATATTGATAATATATGTCGATATTTACACCCCTACACACGAATTTCGTCTCTGCTTTACGTAAGGAAGTTCATCAATCAATGAAGTAGATTTTGGATCTTTGAAATAATATTTCTTCCTCTCGCTCAAGCAATGAACAGTAAGACGCCAATGATCTCAATTTGCCCAATAAATTATTATAATGAACTTTTACAAATAAATAACATTTAAATGACCTTTATAAGGCCTATTTGGACTTACGGAGTTGAGCTATGGGGCTCCACTAAACCATCGAATTCCTCTCGTATCCAATCCTTACAATCCAAAATCCTTCGTAAAATCCTCAATGCTCCCTACTTTGTTACAAATAAAACCATCCATAATGACTTTAATGTTTCTTTTGTTTCAGATCTGGCCCAATCCAGAAACCTATCCTTCCGTAATAAACTTCAGAATCATCCCAACCGTCTCGTTTCTAATCTTGCTTCCTCTTCAATTCCTGATAACCCTACGAGGCATCTGAAAAGAAGATGGCCCCGTGATATCCTAATGTAGACATATCATTAGAGTGCTACCATTGGGTAGTTACTCAGCAATTGTTTTCATGTCATTATATCCATATGTTCAAATTTACTAGATATGTTTATTTAATACAGTTGTAAATATCATTAAGAAATAATAAAAAAAAAAGACCTTTAAATGATCTATACAATAATTTAAAACCTTTATCATGTCAGTCCCTGGAGGATTAATAAATTAATTTTAGTGAGGAGTGCAAAAAAAAAATCTTTTTATGAGGCTATATTCTATCACAGTTAATAAAACCAATAAATACAGAATTTTAACTTTTCATGTAGATTCCAAACCAGAAATAGAAGTTTGTTACATTATTAAATTATTTCTCCGGGTCATGCGGAATTCCGTCGTATTTCAATAAAGGGGGAATGTGTTTAAAAATTTATAATATCATGGTTATGCTAACTCAACATACTAAATGGAAAATAACTTCATAGTTCATAGTTCGGCCCCACTGTTTTCTCTGCACAGACTTTAAACTCTGCCCATACAACCTTTCAATAAACTGGAAAATTTACAAAACTTCTCCTCCATAGTTTTCTTAATCGATTGCTTGGGTATGTAATATGACATTAATTTCCTTATATATATATATATATATATATATCATATAAATAAAAATTTTATCATTGAAATCAGCTAACAAGAGGTAATAGAATACGACAGATTCAATAAAGGAGAAAAAAACTTAGTAAAATATTCTAATAGCTCTTACCAGAAGATGGAATGTCTTTACATCCGAGGTAATCGGGGTAAGATCTACTCTGATTCTGAACAATAATATTTGACTCTGTTCTATTAAATCAGCAATGATAAAAAATCTGGTGCGTGCATCACACAACTTTCACTTACCTCACTACTTTGAATAGAAATTATTTTCTGGCAAAATTTGGCTATTGCAAAGTTTATGAAGTATATTTCTAGCGGGGCTTAACCTTGAACTTTACAGCTAACAAATCATTAATACCACTAAGTAAGTGAAAAAAAATCAATGTGTTTATAATTATGTGTAATTCTATCACTCAATCGTATTTCAATATCTGTTCTTGTAAACCATAAAAGTACATTCTCAGAGTTATATATGCCTAAAGGAAAGTATATTTCTATACATATTTAACCTATAAATAATTATGAATTGTAATACTATTTGTTAATACATTTTTATTTTCCCATTATAAAGTTTACTAAAATGGAATTTCATTGAATACCATCAATAGGTTAAAAGTTGCTACACTAATTGTAAGTGCATAATGTTGTGATTTCACAAAAGAAAACTTCATAAAATTATTCACAAATTTAATTTTCTAGATTATATGATGATTTTCCGTAATAAACTGACGATAGATAATAAATTATTAACTGCAGTAAGTGTATTTAGGATTATAAACATATGTTTTACACTTCCATGACCTATTTTAATATTTCACTTATTCTTTCACAGAAGTACAATGGAATACTTTTTCATTTTTTAAACAATTTCAATGTCTTTATTCTTTGGATTTTATATTATTTTATACCAAATCCAATTTTGCAAAGAACATTCAATTATACATAAATACACGGAGTTTAATCAAAATCGTTAGAGCCGTTTTTGAGAAAATCGTGAAAATGTCTAAAATCGATAATATAAAGTACCATTTCCGGTGCGCCGATTTTCAGAAAAAAGTTGGTGTGACATCCTGGGCATGTACCTATTTTAAATATCTTATACCAGTTTCGTACGACTTTTCGTTTTCGAGCTAGGCTGCTAACACACACACAGGCCATTTTTAGGATTTTGTATATTTGGAATCAAGGGGGCTCAAAATATGAATTTCTGTTGAAAACTCAGATTCGAAAATTTTCATGATTGCAATACTTTCCCTAACTATATATTACATATATTGGCAATTGAAAGTAAAAATGTTACTATCAGCTACTATTAGTGTTAAGCATGGATCAGCAGGTATATATTATTATTAATATAAATGTTCATTATTAACAAGTATTAATAATTTATATACATATTCACAAATTTGAACTGTATTTTTTTTTTTAATTAAATATATGAAATAAGTTTAGCACTTTATTCACAAATTTGAACTGTATTTTTTTTTTAAT